AGTCGGTCGTTGTATATCATAAACCGGTAGAAATAGGTATATTTGGAAAACTGGATTTCAACCCAGTGACTAAATAACAGCATGGTTGCCACGGAACCTGAAGGTCCTAGATCCGATCCCTACTGGGGCGGGGTTATGGTTGCACGCTGCTAAGGAGTCCACTAATACGGCGAATTAGTTGTCCAGTGCTCCCAGTTGTTGAGTGGTTCTCCAACCAATGTCAGGCCTTTATGGAAATCAACTCAAAATCAATAACTCCCCAAAAACCTCCAGTTTGCAAACATCTGTTAGTAAGATGGCATGAAAGTTGCGTGTCACTTTATGACAGTTGGCATATCTTGTTAATCAGATATTGGTTTCCATTGTATTTTGACCTTGAGAATGACAATATGTCTACCACTGGAATTTAAGACATATGTTTCGTTCAAATTCATGACTAATCACATGAATACAAATAAACCTAAACTTGTAACATCATCGTTAACTTTAAAGGCAGTAGTGATATCTACTAGATTATTAGGTGAAGACGATCTTTAGTTAGAAGCAATTATTTTCATTAGAATTGGAAATTTCTCGTTATAGAACGAAGGACGGAGCTAAGGAACATGTGTTTTTATACTGACAATGTATCAATAACACTAAAATTATTATTGATCATAAACTGTTGAGATATACAAAAAGGAACTTGGAACAATAACGTCTGCTGAGATAAAAGTTTATCTATCTTGTGTTGAGAAAAATTTGTCTTAAGTTTATTTGCTTCGTAAAGTTGAAGTAAATGATCGAAACAACAAACCAGTAAAAAAATAACAACATTACAACAAAAGATCCACTCCAATAATATGATTCTCAACAAACTGATCATCCGTACTAATTTTTCCCCTCAGTCGATATGAAAAGAAAAGCTAATAAAACATTGGTCATGAAATACTTAAACATACAGTAGTTGGGAGTATTTTAAGTACACTTTTTAGCTATAATGTAACAACATATTGATTTCCAAAACCCTAAGGCTCATTCATTCACATGTTGATGAGAAGGCATAACACGTTTTATCATTCTAGTTTGGTTTGCGTTGTCGTTCAAAAGGTTAAAACATCCCAGCACATATTTTTTACGTGGAAAGGAGTAAACTAGAAAAACAATGTATAAATAGGGACTATGCACATAAAGTTTGGATATCTGAGGAATGTTACAATGAGTTTGTATGATATTAAGAACTGCTTTTAATCAAATTATTAATTTCAAGACACCGTTTAAAGACTTTTATTACATGATACAGGTTGTAATTGTTGTATGTTAACCATACAGCACTGATAGTTTAACAATTACCCTCTCATAAACCAATCAGACTAACCAACCAATGGTTCAAGTGAAAATATAATACTAGTCACTTCCAATACAGCATTCTACAAGTTCTGACAGGAAGCTATAACGTCGAATAAGTTGAAAGTCAAGGTAAATATTCACTTAAGAATATAGTAAATTATTATCAAAAATGGAAGTAAGTGAAGTATGGATATAAATACCCTTAGATTATAACATAAAGAGTTAAAAGTAACATATTCATCACAATAGTTATTACACGTAATGTACCATTAAAGAGAACTTCGAGTTCAAAACAAAACAAACAAGTAACCAATTCTTTTTGATTGTTATCCTTTCTTCAACTGATCTGATTTTGCAAAATATCAACTTCAAATGATATTTTTTTCTTCATTTTAATGAGATAAATACACTTTGCTATTAAATTAAATCTTTAAGATAAGTACGTGTGTAATGTCAATCAAAGGTAATTTGTACTAGCAGTTTCATTATTATGGAAAAATGCAGTAAACAAGCGTACCTTTTTTGATAATAAAATTTCAATATCCTATTTCTTTGAAAATTAATCACTCATCGATTTGTTGACAAATAGCCTAACTCAGTCAGTCAGATAACAGTGAAAGTAATCGAAAGATGACAGAAAAATCTTAGCTTATTTTAAAAACATCCCGTCATTCAGTTGCACGTGACAAATGTTTCAAGCTTTTCAATATCACACCAGAAAAGGGTTGACTGATTACATCTGCTGATGCAATTATTATTAATAATAATAACGATAATAGTGATAATAAGCACTATTATCATTGTTATTATTATTATCATTATTATTATAGGACATCATTTAAAATGCCATGATAGATAGTTGGATGATTCATTTCTTGATAGTGTAGAACAAACTGCTTACAAAAGACAACTGAAACTGATTACGTTCCATGAGTATATGTATGATAAAATATGTGCAAGCACCCTACATTGTAAGAGAGATAAAATTCTTTGTTCCAGGTGATTTAGTTGCTTGAAGTGAAGGTCTTTTTTCTACCACAAAACTGAATCTTTCTGAGTATTGTATGATTACAATGGTGGACCTCACACACGCCCATATATAGCATAATCTCCTGTTAGAATTCATCACATGGTAAGAACACCAACAAATTGTATGCCAAGTGGGTGGAAAAGAGAGCTGATCAATACTGTTCACTAGTATCCTATGAATCTTTTTGTGAATATAAAAGTTTCAAGTACTTACAACTTAACACTACTACTCTTCAATACACGAAGGATATCCAACAAGATGTTGCAGAAAGATGAGTTGAAATATAATTTTGACGATTTCATAATTTGAACTGTACAGTTTAAAGAAAACGATTGTTGGAAACAGATCTTTCTGTTGAAGTCCTCTTCCTCCTTGGAATTAAAACGTATACCCAATGAGACTATGGACCCAGATTCACACCAATTATTTTCCCTTCCAAGCAGTTAAGTACTATTCTCAATTCTTATATAGTGACTATAACACTTCAGTAATTGAAGTTATAGACTCCTAATGAGCAGGATTATAAATTTCTATTGAATATATTGAATTCGAGATACACCACGAGGTTGCTCATTGAGTTAGTAAAGGAAGTAAAATCATTTGTAAAAATAGCAATCAGGTAGATTCATAAGTAATCCCAATCACAGGTAATTCAATTGTGTAGGTTTGTGGGGATTTGTTGATTTCAAGTTGGCATTCATCATCCACTGACATCAGTTGGGACTCCCTAGCAGTTCACACCTGTAACCCTGCCACACCAGGGATCGAACCCAGGACCTTCAGGTTTCACAGCTAGCACATTAACATTGAGCCACTGAGTAGGAATTCAGTTTTCCAAATATTCCTGCTTTTATCAGTTTACGATATAGCGTGGCCTCCATCGGATGCTGTCTTTGAGTAACTTTCCTCACATTCAACTTGGTTCGGTACATCAGTAGACTAAACCATTGTATCAGAGTAATAGATGTCAAGTGAGTGTCGCAATACAAGCGTCAGAGAATCATATTCTAGTAGCACTAAATTTGTAGCTAGCCAGACTCGGTACGATAGCTGTACCATACAAGTCTGGGAATAAATGATATCTTAAGCAGTCTGATTATCTACTAGACCAGTACGATCATTCTAAGGGTAATCAGAGAATATACAAGTGTAATGTTAGAAAGTAAATTGTAGCAAAATGTATCTACTCTAGTCCAATTAGATCTGATAGTAAAAGGCGAAGAGAATTAATTACATCATATCTACCACATCTTTCATTTATAAATCAAACCAGCAGTCTGCAAAATATGTAGTACGTGGTGAGAATGACAACTAAGTGAAACCTAATACCGGAGTTTCACCATGGTTTTCAATGGAGACCAAAAGATGCAGATCACACAAAGTGATCGACTGAAAGCCATGAATGCTATAAAGATTGTGAGCATGAAAGCTATGTGGGAGATGCTACCAAATGATGTAAGTAATTGTGGATCATACATGCCAATATGAAGTGCTCAGCGGCCTTCTTACGCTTTGGGCTACCGAAAATTTCTCATCCAGCATCTTTCATCACATCTTTCTCTTTCAGTTTGTATTACTCCTTTAAATATGTGTTATAAATGTATCATGTACTCTCGTAAACTACTAAAATGGTTTCAAACTGCATGTTTTTCAAGATAACAAACAACAAAACAAAGAAAAAACTATACGCCAGTAGGAGATGAGCTTACAAGTGCACAGAAATGCACTATGTTACTATTCCTTGGATAATTATGTCGAAATGAAGATTTTAGTACTGGCTGAATAACCTACCACTACCCAAATTACGCTCGATTTTCTATCCATTCACCAGTCCAAACCAGACGGTAATGTAATACCAGATGCCTATTTCACATTGTAGCTTTTACTACAGTTATTATTAATAGTATTCAAATACAACGGTTATTTTTCGTTAAAATATTGTACAGGGGATGAATTTGTTGAAGTATTACATGCTGAAAATTCCATACTGTGCCACACGTGTTGTTTGGAAAAAACAATTAGAATAATAATTATTATTAAGAAGATCAAGGGGATCTAAGTACCTGACAGTATTTTTACTCGTTTGTGATCAAGTTGATTAGTTGTATAACCGGGTCGGTTAGACTCCGACAGTCTAGTTGTTCAAGCCACCTGAATTCGACATATGACTTGTCGATTCATGTAGCTACAGACTACTTATACTACTGATGCCATTACATCGGCCAACGTGAAATGTGTATAATGCCTAGACTTAAATTGTAATTCAGTATGTTTACTTTGAACCAAACCGGTTTATGACACTCGCTGATCAACCAGATGTTTTTGCTTGAACTCAAAATGACATATTATGTAAAAGGGTATTCAGTATATGTGTTGAATTGATATTTCAAGTTGAGAGGAACACTCAGATCATAGTCTGCTTTGAACTATCGGTCTTCAGGTTACTGACCCACCGCTCTATCGACCACGATAGAAAATCCAGCAGCTGATTGGAAACGAAACCTGAGTAGTAGGCAGAAGATGTTTGAGAAGGCACAGAAATTAAGCAAAGAACATTTTGATGATCATAAAAGGGAAATTTCACAAATATTTTCATCTAAAACCATAAATATATTGTAGAAACTAGTCAAAACATTCTTACTTTAGAATTTGCAAGTCTCCTGTTGTATTCTTCATGAGGGTTGTATATATCCAGATCATCTTGGATGAAATCACTAACCTCTGTTTCAACTGTATGGGTTATAGCAGTGATGGTTCTGGGGGTAGAAATGTTGGTAGAAGTACTTGTAGGCACGTGACGAACAACAGTGGCCTAGTTAAAGAAACAAAAGAGGCGAACAACTGAAGATGATAGGTTAAAGCAGCTGAGATATAAATATAGTCATAAGAATCAAAAATTCATTTCTTAGAAAAAAATATTGAGGAAGGCAGTATAGACTATTTTACTTATGTACATTGAAAAATATACATACAGAGATCACCAACACTGGTAACGTGTACTTCCAAGCTCATTTCAAAGTTTCTTTAATCAAATTTTTTCAGTCTTCGTAACTTTTTGAAGCGATTTTAACAATAATATATACAAATGATGCCAGTGGAAAAGCTAATCTCCACTTTTTTTCAACTGGATTGGCTATCATTTAGATACGTTAATTTTCATAAAAATTCACCTTCTGGTTGGTTATAATTGAGTCACTGTGTATCCCCCCCCTAACACTGTAATCAATGTTTGATTGTTATTTTAAAAGGTTTAAAGGTGTTTGTCCGACTGCTGATTTTAAGTCTAGTCAGATGATTATACGTGCAGTAAGGAGTGGTTATCATGAATCAGATACACACGTACTCAATCGTATATCACAAAAGTTTAAAACAGAAGTACTATTGTACACAAAGAAAAACAGTATTCCCAGAGAGACAAGATTTTAGAAATTCCATACAATTAGTTCCCTTCATAAAATTTTGAAAACCAAGAACAATAAATATTGTAGGATGAATCGAATTCATTTCACGTGCTCTAAATCTTCCACTTCTACGTGTTAAATTGTCTACAGTAAGCTATCAGTGTCCAGCATAAGTCATTTGAATATTCCCGTTTATACATTTAGAAAAAAGACTGACTGTGCAAAGAAATATATTCGTTTCCGATTCAGTCTTCATCTTAGGCTCTACACTAATGTATAGTTTTACAATTTAGTCAAATTACCAATCACGTGGTGATGTTTTAGAAATAAAGATGTAAATAAGCAATAGTTAATAAAATTGGAAATATGAAGCAGATTATGCTTAATTAAATGGAATGATTTCTGATGGGTGTTCAGTCGTAAATAATAGATAGATTACGTAATAATAAGAAAGCAAATGAATATTGGTAGAAACAAGAAGGTGAAGAAGTGTACAAAATAATCCTAGAAATTACATCATATTGACGGCCACAGTAATCAAGTTGGTCGAACAAACTTGTTTTGAATACAAAGGCTAGGTTTATAAAGGTGAATTGCAATCGCCTTTGCTGTGTGAAGTAAGTGAGTGCGTAATCCATGTGGTAAATTTATTGGAATCTGATGAATTATTTTGAAAGCTTTACTAGCATCCACTTGATGTCCAGTGTCAACTGGGTGTGCAAGTATGGAGCTTTTTATTGTTCTAATTTGTCCCTTGCTGAACCATGATGGATGGTGCTCAGAAGTTCGACGATGGAACTGCCTCATTGTACGCCCAACGTAACCAGCTCCACAGGAGCGGTTGAATTGATAAATGTGCATGGAAGTGGTAGAATCAGGCAATTTGACTTTATTTCTTGCACCTAGAATTACGCAGTTGTAGAAGATTGGACATAATTTGGCGGCCGGGATGGCTTTATGCAAAACTTTTTTTTATGCACTGTGTGATGATCTCACTGGCAAAGTCACTCTTGAATTTCAGCTTCAAGAAGATTTGCTCCTTAGGAGCTGTTGGAGTTCTTGTCTTAACCCTCGTAATATTCATATGCTTAGTTACAAACCTGTCTGTGTAACCATTCCTACTAAACAGGTAACGGATGGTGGCCCACTCTTCCTTTATAGCATCATTTTAGCAAATAGCTGTGGCACTGTACGCTAGGCATTTTACGAGGTTCCTTTTGTATTGGAGGGGTACGGCACTAAAGAAGTGCGTGTATTGACCTGCTGATGTTGGTTTTCTATATCCACTTCGTTTCAGAGTTCCATCTAACCTTCTTACCAATAGAACATCAAGAAATAGGATAGTGTCATTTTTCTCCTCTTCCATTATAAAGTTGATTGCCGGACGAACAATATTGAACTTATTGAGAACAGCATTCTTATCAATCTCCGGTTTGAGAACTATAAAGGTATCATCCATATAACGACAGTATAACTCTAAACAGCTAATAGTTTCGTTCAGTGGACCATTCTCTAGTTTTGCCAGAGAAAATCTGCTAAGAGGGGGCTAATGGGTAACCCCATAACTACACCAACAGACTGCCTGTAGAGTTCATTGTTGAAAAGGAATTGTGCGTTTATCGTACACACCAGAAGTCGTTCTTTCAATGTAGAGACTGGAGTACCTATTTCCAAGACGTGCTTCGTAAGTTTGTTGCGAATAAAGTCTACTGTCTCCACTAAAGGAACGTTAGTAAAAGGAGATGAAACATCATACGATATCATTAAGTTATTAGCTACCTTCAGATCCCCAATCTTTCCAACAAATTCATCCGATACATTTCGGTAGTAAAAAACACCAAATACATCCTTTAAACCTAAACATCGATACATATGTATGGGAACAGAGATGAATGATAAAGTTCACAATCTAAACAACGAATACAGGGAACAAATCACAACAGGTCAGACTTAAAGTCGATCAGTAAAAACAAAGCAAAATACGACATGATAATAGTACAGGAGTGTGAGTACAGCTCAAGGTGGTAGAAATCCTGATGGAAGGGGGAGAACAACAAAGATGGTATGCAAAGTGGATGAGTTAATGGTAGACGAATGGAAAAGGATATGTTAACAAACATGATAAAAATATAATGGATTAAAGTAAATCGAAAACTGGCATTCATCATGGACTGACATCGCATGTTGCCAAGGTTTCCAATGTTTCTGCAACTGATGTCAGTTCATGATGAATACCGACTCGAAAAGCCTCAAATCCCACAAACCCCCGAATTCAATTATATCGAAAATACAGGAATATGAATAATATGTAAGACAATAAGATGAAAGAATAAAATAGTAAACAAGGCTGTAGGTAAACAACAATTCATCAAGGCAATACAAGGCGAACCATAAACTCTTTTTGTGCAAATAAGTCCGGTTTCAGTCGACGGATTGCTGCTGCTACTTCAGCATAACGTAGCAAGCTACTATTTCTTTGTTTATTGATTACCTACAAAGCTATGTCTGAGTCAACGGCATGACCTGTATCGAGTATGGCACTGGTTGGTAGCCTTCCACCTCTCAATGACAGGTTTTTCAGAACATGTTCAGAGATTCGTTTGGTAAGAACCCTCTCCGTTCTTCCAACATACATGCTACTGCAAGTACAGGTGAATAAATAAATACAATTGGAGGTGATATGGAGTCTCACATCTAAATTAGTTTCTCTGATCACGTTCTTTGTGTTATAGACAACTGTTAATTTCGCAGCTCGATAAGTTAGTGCGATACATACATTAAGTCAGCGATTATTTTGTGGACTCATTTCATCTCTTTTGAATGGTAGTCTAATGAACACGTTCTTTTTTGGCATGACTGTATCATTCAGTTTCTTATTTTTAAGTTTTAAGTGTTTATTGATCTTTATGGGATATCCATTGTCTAACAAAGTTTCGTGTATGACATCCACTTCATTTTCGATGACTTCCTTGGAACATAGTCTGGTACCCCTTCCGGAATAGTTAACTTTATCATTCATCTCTGTTCCCATACATATGTATCAATGTTTAGATTTAAAGGATGTATTTGGTGTTGTTTACTACTGAAATGTATCAAATGACTTATGCTGAACACTGATAGCTTACTGTGAACAATTTTAAATTTAGTGCGTAGAAGTGGAAGATTTAGAGCACATGAAATGAATTCGACTCATCCCACAGCATTTTTTGTTCTTGCTTTTCAAAAAAAACATTAGTTTCTTTGGAATGCGTACATGCCTCTCCCACGATTGGGCGAACTTGTAGAACTGATATCTGGTCAGCAACTCGACCTTGTGACCTTGTCGGTAGATCGTCAAGCAAGTCATCCTAAGGCCACTAGTCACATTATGTTGTAATGAAGATTTCATTTCAATTCCCATCAATATCTTCACACATAAAGATTGATATATCAAACCAACACTAGCACAAAATCAAACCAACAATCCAGTTTCTTTTACGTGTCATATTTAACCAAGTGGGTTAAACTTATGAAGTACCGTTCAATAAATTAATATCATTCAGGTGGATGGAACTTTACGGTAAGCATACTCCTAGTAGATATAATAATAATAATAATAACAATAATAATAATAATAATTCCAAACAATATGTATGACTATGGAATCCTCGGCATGTAATTTTACAACAAATTTACTCCCAGAACACTATCAGACGAAACGGCTATTACATCGGAATGATGTTAATAATAGCAATATTCAAGGCAATAATGTGAAATAGCCAGCTGGTTCTGGATAGGCATCAGGTCTATAATGAAGAATCAACAGAAATGCAAGCGTAGTTTTGGTGGTCGCGGTTCATTCAGACGGTATAAAACTCTGCAACTCAGGATAAGCATCTAATGGATAGAAATGCGATGTACTTTCTTGCACCGAAAAGTTCATTTCCATATAATCTAACATTTTTCCTCTGCTTTGTTATTGATTCGAGAAACGAAGAGTTGGAAACAGTTTAAAAAATGTACAGGAGTACATGATACGTTCAAAGGACATATTTAAATGTTTAAAACAAATTGAAAGGAAAGAATTTGATGGAAAATGTTCGATGGATAAATTTGGTAGCAGACCGCTGTGTTATTCATTGGCGTAAGGAATTATGACTTGTAATCATATACCAAACTACTTTACATACTTCTGTTTAAAGGACTGAACAACAGTAATAACAATTTAAAAAAACTTGATATGTTTAAAAGTGAAGAATAGTTTTGTTGAATTAATGCCTTTGATATGTCACAATTCTCAGACTAGGATTCAAGATTCTAACATAACTCACTGGTTTCAAACGTTATCAAAAATGACTCAGATCTATCATGAGGGTAGGGCAGTTTCGTTTCGCTTACTATACAATTAGATGGGATTTAATATATAAATAAAAACAGAAATTTCTATCGGTTTTGTTCTCACATAAAATGTAGTACACTTTTTATTTTTACTGCTGCATTACAGCATCTTAATTACATCATACTTTTATACATTTATCAAATTTTATATGATCCATCTTTCTTTTAGTTAGACTGTAACAAATCTTAAGAACTAAATGTAATCTAGTGCAATATTCCAAGGAATGAAGAAAAAATTCATCGAAAAAAATTAAATTGCCAAGATAAGGATATTTTTTATCTAATATAAGTGAAAAACTTGGGCACTGTGGTAGAATGTAGTTCCATATTAGATTTGTTTATTTGATATAAAGCGCACAGTGATAATAAAACTGTATCACTGTGCGCTTTATATCAAATAAACAAATCTAATATGGAACTATATTTTTTATCTCCCTAAGAAAAGCATGGTAGTCATCGGTAATTAAAATAATCTTGCAGTTAATACTATTCTGCGATAATTAATAAATTTAACGCCTGAATAAATGCAGTTTTTTGAATACGTTGAACAGATATAAATTGCTTTTGCTATGTGCTTTGCATCTGCCAAAGGTAAGGTGATGCTCTAGGATCAACCTATATCAGCATCTAGTTTAAGGATATGTATTGAAGCAACCCAATGTATTGAGTAGTTTGTTTACTTAAGTAGCTGAATTAGTCTTTATAGGGTGATTGTTAACCAAATTTGAATATAAATATAAAAACCTGCATGGTATTTGTTAACTAACATCAACTCTGGTGACTGCAAATTAGTTAATCTCCTATCAAACGATGAATTTGATGCATTGAAGTCTTGTATTCAAATCAACAGTTGTTAGGCACGACTGTTCAAAGTGGATGACGTAGACAGGGTATCATATATGTCTACAGAGAATCGTCGATACATGGGAAAACCACACAGTCAGCAATGTTGAAATTAGGTGTAGAATGACTGGACAGGGGAAGTAATTCAACGAATTAGGTTGAAGTTTTACACCAACTTTGGCGGTTTTAATGTATGGCACACCAAATCCGTGAAGTTTTCGTTTGATAATTTGGGTTCTGCAGGTTGTTTGGCTAGAGTTGTCGAGATGCTAAGAACTGACGATTACTGAATCTCGGTGATAGGGATCAAAATTAATCACAGTGACTTAGAATTATCTACTCTTTGTCATTTATGGAGTTTTTAAAACTTCACTTACATGTATTCTATTTCTTTTCCCTATTAGTTTTCTTATTCGCTTTTCTGTTACTCTGTTTCTGTACGTTTCTTTTGTTTTATGCTGTTTAAAAGTATAACAGTGGGTATCCGGTGTTCTCTGAGCTTTGATATTTTGTCGTAAACGCTTCATCACTAGGCTTAGTGACATCTTTAACACTAACTTCATAAAGATTTCTTGATGAAGTATCAAAATATCAAAGCTCAGAGAACAAACCACCATTGTTCTCATTCTTAGCTACAAATCTTTTCCATCATTTTATAGCACAACAATTTGTTTTGATGCAGTTTTTTGTGGAAGGTTCTATCGGATCTATTTACGCATCATCATTACCAACAACATCAGGTTATGTGTAAGCTATCGCTGCATTTAGTCTTCAAGGCTAGTTGTCAATAACTTGGTCATTATCTGATAAAGAGTTTGATTGAAATCAAGAAGACAAAGAAGGAGTGAATTTAAGGGCCAACCTAGTAATGATTGAAATAGCCAGTTAGCTTTCTTTATTTCGACTGGAAAGGCAGATTTCCATAAAATCAAGTAGTCTAATAGGTCATTTCATTCGTTGTTAAGGTGGCGTTTTAAGTCGCTCCACAGAACAGCGGATGTAGAACATGAAAGATTTTTGCAGTTCACCATAGTATTGTTTCATGTAGTTAAATGCCATCATTGTATTTTGCAGCCACTACCTACCAAGGTTGTAGCTATGGTTCAGCATTTTGATTTCGAAGATTGGGTCGAAGGATTTAATGCCGCTCCGTTGATACGATTTCAACAGACCCCCTCCTTCAGAATTCATGATTTGTAGATTAGTGTGCTAACCTACGCTCAAACAGAGATGTATCATGAGAGTATTATCTCGGTTGCCACTTGGTTACAGATTGGTCTATATAGTCTTATTATGCTGGTAATAAGAAGCAAAATAATCAGCTAAATGATGACATCTTCAACTTCAGCATTGAAGGGTACGGGTTTAGAACGGCGAACGAATATGAGCTTCGTCAACACATAGCGTACACTTAACTGATAACTCCTAAGAAATTTAGAGATCCCAAACCTTTTTCTGTATAACATTTTATAACTGACTTTATGAAATCGCTCTGTGAAAGTTAAACCATTGTAAACTGCGTGAACGATATTCCTATAAAGTCCTACTTTAGAAGAACTTCAGCCCTGGCATCTCAATAACTATCCTATCTTTTTCAGTGCTATTCCTAGCTTTACACACACATACACAAATAGAAGACACCTTTTAGTGTAGATAACCAGAATTCACTTTGGTTGCTTGTGGCTAGTAGAAAAATCCAGGATGCGGGTTTCGTTTTATTTGGGGCTCGTCAGCTGGACGTACCTGGACCCTAGTGCGTGATGTTGCTCCCACTGACACTCCAACCTCATACCCATCGCTTCAAACACCAAGGCTTTATCTATTATGCCACGGAGGAACGACTACCACTTTTTGTACAACGGGTAGTAGTTATTATTACTTATTATCATAATTAACATTCAGACAATATCGAGTCATCCGCATAGGAGCCCATATGTCAATAGAGGTCAAACAATTCGATACAATAAAACAACGGAGAATAACAAGTATGTCAGTAAAAAGGAATTTACTTCTTACAATTTAATTTTAAACATGATCTTATAGTTACATTAAACTTACATAAGAATCTTCTACCCAGTTTTCTAACGGTTGTTGGTGAATTTCGATTTCCCCAGCAATATCATTCTCATCTATCGTTGTCACATCTGAAGCTGAAAATCACATAAAAATCTGTCGATTATCCATACACCTTATTATGTGCATAGTATTCTTTAGTGATACATGCATGATGCTCATGGAAATGAATTTAGAAGCACAAAATTCAACAGTCTATATGCATTAAGCTTTTCAATTCCATCGAATCCCTAGTGAATAATTGTTTACACAAGTGAATAAATGCACTATTCTGAGTTTACTTCCTACGAAAAAAAGGTGAATCTAAGGACTACCTTTGCAACGACTGAAGTAACCAATAAGTTTTCTATATTTTTAGCTGAAAAGACATATTTTCAAAAAATAAAGAAGTCTAGTTGGCTGTTTCAGTTGTTACTAGGTTGGACTTTAAAGCCACTCTGAAAGAATGAAGGGACTGGAATTTGACATTTTTTCATCAGAAGAAGGAAATTAGATGAAAAATGTAATGTAAAGATAGAATGCAAGTATTTCAATAATCCGTATATCAGTCCGTCTGTCTTCCTTAATACATGACATATTTAGAAACACTATATGGAACAATGCATATGAATCAAAATGGTCAAAACTTCAATCACAGAACAATGCATTAGAGGGTTTGAGAGAATGCCAACAGATATGACGTTCAGCTGAAGCGACCAATAGATTTGTAAACCTAAACACCAATCGTAAAGCAGACAATAAGAAATTAGCAAGCATGCTCTTAGTTCAAAATGCCGTTCATAGGACAGAAAAACCTATTAAAGAGCGGGAAAACTTTACAAGAGTACACATTACCAAGAAACTGTAAACAAAGAATGCACCCGAAAAAAAACAGTAAGGCTCTCTCTCTCTCAAACAGATAAAAATCATAGTAAATTTCTGCTATTCTAAGAACAATAGATAAAGGAGAATCAACTGTGAGACTATCTGGTAACTTTCATATGAGAAACTAAAGAAATTTAAGAAGTCAAAGAGTCAACTAAGTGTTAACTCAATAAACTGAAAGGATAAGAAAATGCGATCCAGGTTGAAAACGAAGGTCAAAATTCAACTAAATGAAACCATTTCAAATTTTTTCAATCGAATTTGTTTGACCTGATCTGTACACAAATGATAATTGTCAACTCAAAAGCATGAACCACAAAAAAAGACAAGCAGAGTGCAATACAACAATACTAAGTCAGAGAAACCAGGCACATGACTATAAATCAATCCGTAAAAAATGGAATAGAGGAAAATATTCACATGCTACTGATTTAAACAGAATCCTTCCTTTAATAACTCATGCAAAATATCAAATTCACTTTCTTATGAAGATACCGGTTAGACTGATGTTGAATGAACCTATTCAGCGAAACTTAAGCCTATTGAGCAATAAAACTATCAAAACAGAATTTAATGCATCACGAAATAGGTTATTACACACTATTAGTATATAAATTGAAAATCCAATATAAAAAAAGACAAATTTGTGAATAGAAAGTCCCAGTATCTCTTTGAAATAATTGTTAAGTCTAAGTAGTAGTTCAAAACTGTCTACTAGACCTCTCAAAGTTATATGAGATTTAACTGGAGGCTGTTATTAAAGTCTAAGTTCCGGTTTATTCAACTTTTTTTTTGTTATACTCTTTTTTGAGTACTGTTCTGCTTCTCTGATATTTTATGCTCAATTTAATTCACAAAGACAACAATATTCAGCTAGGGTATAACACTAGAAAGGGCAAAACATACAGTGTTCAATATTAACTTTCTATTTGGCATATGCGAATCAATATGTACTTGACACTAGATAACTACGTGAATGAAGTGGCTACAACTTTTGGCTGCATCAGCTAACTGACTACAGGTTCGGACAATTCCATCAGGATTTTCTTACTTGTTCAATTTATGGTAGTTACGAGATACTTAGAGTCAAATGCAGCAGGATGCTTTGTTAATATCATATATAATGGTACAGGGGTGTGACAAATAAAGGTTCAAGGGATCTTTCTAGAAGTTCATCTAACCTTCGTCAAATTTTTTGAATTTAGGAAGTAGTTTTGGAGGTAAGTTGATATGACCTAAGTCGATAATGGTTAGGTCATCCGGATTTTTATTTTTTTAGTCCATATGATAGTGTCGCAGTACTAAGCATAACAACTAGTCGGCGGGTAGAAAAGACTGATAAGATTGTATCAAAAATATATCAAGTTTGATGTAAACTATGTTAACAGAGTACTTTTTGTCCATGCATTGGACAAAACATCTGCATACTTGCTTTCTGACAACAGAGTTTGCATCAAATGAACCGATTGGATGTACTATTGTGACAACATATTTGTGCTGCTTGTGAATAGGTAGTAAGTTGTACGCCATGATAAAGAATTATTGCAAACTTTAAGTGTCTATCAGTAATCAGTTGCTATCATCCGGTTATCATAGATCTGTTTAAAACAATTTATAGTTTTGTGAGCATGTAGAAGTCAGTGCATCTGTTTGTAAGTAATAAATTTGCTGAATTAAAACAAAGTAAGAAAATAGATGACAATACAATACAGGTTGCTAAAGACACTAACTTATCATCTAAATTGTAAACAAGATTTGTACTCCTTGTGACCAATTCATTTCTACAGCAGATAGATTCTGAAATTGAATAGCTTATCGGTAAGGTCATTCACTGACTTCAGTACTCAAAGACTTAGGTTTAACTCTCAGATGGTACATGAGTTTCATCAATGTTTCCGGCACAAATTACCGCAGAAGATCAATAAGTACAAAATATAAGTTCCAGAGACATTGATTCCCACTATGTAACAGCAGATGTAATAAACAATAGTGTCATGATAGTTATCATAGTGGCTTGAATCAGTATTTTAAACCTGATGGTTACATCAGTTACAACTCAGTGAAGGGTTTACACACCTACACTGTTATTCATAATCATCATCGAACGTGTGACTTTTACTTGATAAATTCTTTCCATAGTAATTAGATAATTAGATAAAAGAAACAGTTTCTTAGATTGCAGTGTCAAGAGATGTAGAATATACATATGATTTTTGTAATAACTGTCGTCTATGTGTGAGCATAATTGTCAACCTCCGACTCCATGGAACGACATTAGTTAGCTCATGAACATGATCGAATCAGTTAATCGGAGGTATTTTCTGTACAAAAAAAAAATGACTGTAGAAAAACATGTGACACCTTCATGATCTAACTGTCACCATGTGAAAGCCCTCAACACTAAGTACACATCGATATATATATATATATATATATATATATATATATAACGACTGATAGTGTACTGAAGAGAAAATATACACCTTCTACAGTGGTATGCTTTCCAGGCGCCTCATTGAATTTCAAATATGTTTGCTTTTGTGTGCATGGTTGCATGTACTCAAAAAAGCAAGCAGTTCCATGTTAATGCACTAAAAATCTTGCTATAACTCTTACAACATACTACTTACTAGTAGGTGATTGTGATTGTATTCGCATAGGCTGTAAAACAGGAAACACAGATTAACTGAAATGACAGTAAAATGATAAAGAATATAAAAACACGATACATTATGTAACGAGTTAGTTATCATGCAGATTGGTTGGGGGTGAACAAATGACACTGACTACAACTAAAAGGCAAACAATATGACACGATAAGTGAGAAGATTGGGAAAAGATATAAAACACCTTTTGCATAACACAGAATAACACAACACAACTGATAAGCACACAATGAGACGCGACACACGAAGAATTACTTCATTGGGATTTTCGACTAATTTCGTCATGTTGGTTGGTACTGAATCGTCATAAAAGATATTTTGTTGGTTAGGGGACAACTCATATACTAATGCATCATTGTTGTTGTCATCTTTAGTGTTATTGATGTTTTGACGAACTGAAGCTTCCGAAGTAAAGTCTTCATCGTTATCAACGTCACTCTCTTCCATCACAATGGACATTCGATCAGGATAACCAATGACAACTTGTTTTATCTCTACATTACGACTTGATATTAGATTATCACCGGTTGTATTCATTAGGAGTTGATTCTCATTATTACCATCATCATCCTTACACTCCATATTAGAGTATTCACGAGACTGTTGTCTTTCAGAAATATCTAGCGGTATTTGTACTTTCTTTACAGGTATTAATTGTTGTTTATCCAATGAGTCGGATAATAATTTTGCAATATCAAACAATTCATCCAGTGTGTCATATTCATCATCACCATTACCTTCTTTATTGTCGACAGTAACCACTGTATCACCTTCACCATTATCAAGAGACGGGTCAAACCTACTATTCTCAGCAGACTGTATTAATTTCAGATTTTTGATCACAATTTCATCATCCACTTCTTGATCATTAGTCATTTCATGAGTACCGGTATCCTGTTCCATACTAAGTTGTATCGCGTTCTACAAGTAAGCCAGCATAAATGAACAGAAACAAGAAACGGTGCGATGTCACAAGTTAAATGACACTTGACTTAACAATCTTAGCAAATGAGACTGCATTACTAAAAGAAAACAGATATTAAATCAAAACTTGTATCCCACTTAGAAGTAAGAGATAAATGTAAAGCTGGAATAATGGTAACGATACGTGCATTTAGATAACATAATTAAAAGACGTAGGTTACCTGAAAAATGTGATGTATTTGCGCTATACATTTTGCATTTTTATATGAAAACTAGAAACGGGGGTGTTAGGGATGCCTAGTCCCTAAGATAAACTAACTTATGTTTATATTATCATTGTAAAATGTAAACCTTATTTTCGTCCCCTTTTTGCTCCATGCTGTGACTTATTTTTACCGCAGTTTAGGATACTAAACGCTGATTGTTCCTTTTTACACTTTTAATACGCTATTTTGATTTTCCTGGCCAAGGCCATCTTAGGATATATAAACGACTGAGTTTTTAGCTATGATGATTCGGTTGAAGTAGATATACTTTCAAGCCCATTGTATGCTCCTGATGTCAGCTGAATATCCAGTTGAGAAGTCATTGTTCTATCGTTAGTTGTATCGCATTGGAGCATTGTATCGTTATATAATATACAGTCGATCATAACATGGGAAAAAACAAATATGACAAAAAGGAAGTTTTAATAAGAAAGATAATGAAGAGAAAATGACAAGATATGAAGACAACCTTGGTAATATAAGATAAACATTACTAGAGTTGGTTTACTGCAAGGAAGAAGTATTTTTGAACACATAACGGGGGCTTAAATTTGTGTACGACTAGCGCTTCAACAAACTTGAGTATACTCCCCTGACAGTTTCTGTACAAAACTGTAACGGTTGTTTTGATATCAATTCTGTAACCTTTATCGATGATTTGTTTTGCAGTGGATGATGATGTTTGTCAGCCACCTGCGCCTATCGATTTTTGTGAATCCAACTGCTTTTGTAGCCATTTTGGTATATGTTTTCCCACCCTCAAATGGATATCTCGATTAGTCTTCCCTATTTATGTATGTCCATACACATATATAAAACGATAAACACAATGGGACGCGGTGCAATGGTTTATGCAGTCTTGTAACATGTGTTTGGTCTTCTCAACTAAGATACGCTAGCTGCATAGTATGTTTTGCTAGCGGCAGACCTTGGCCTTCGTTTCCAAAATCACACTGTTAGATCACCTTCTGTACGGAAACGCGATATAAATGGATTTCTTCGGAACACAATTTACGTTAGGTTTCAACGCTAGCTGATTTTCGTAACGGTTTATAGGCTTCAACGAATAATGTTTTAGTTAGTATTTTGACATTATCGTCGATTAAGTGTTCCGATGAGATAGTCTGGATCCTTTTGAATCAGCAAATTATCAAGCCTTGTTTGTACTGAGTTGGACAAAAGCTATGGAAACTTGAATACTGACCTGTCCCAGCAGGTTTCCTGAGTATCGATCGCTTTATTAAACCATCTTTCCTAGGACTTAGGAGTATATCCAAGGTTGTCTTCAAATCTTATTATTTTCCTTTCACTATCTTTCTTATTCTAAAGTTCCTTCATGTAACATTTGTCTTTCCCCCACCTCCAGTTTTCATACAAAATGTCTATGACAAATAAATGTGTGGTCAGATTCTTAGAAATGGTATAGCGTAAATACATTACATTTTTCAGATAATCTACGTCTTCCAATTACGTTATCCAAATTTATAAAAGCGGAACACTTGTTTCAAACACGTGCAGTACTCATAGTGTTTACTTGAGATGACAACTACTTGATAGTTATCTTGTAATATCATAATTCATATCGATTTGCTGAATGACATATCAGTAGTTGAAAACTTCGTTGCATCAATCATTATATCTTATCGGGTATTTTGACTGCGGGTAACTGAGTATTTATCAATCGTGTGTGCATGAAAAGTGTTGGCTCATAAGCATGCAATAGAAAATTTCTTAATATTGATGTAAAAGCATACAAAATATGTATTAGCCGATGACAGCATATTCAGTTATAAGTGATGATTAACGCCAATAGACTGAATAGGTGTAGAAGGCATCTCCAGCGTGGGCAATGTCAGTGTAGGCAGTGGTTCATAAACTATCTGATCAATCATGTTTATACAACATTGGTGTATGTTCAAAAATACAAGCAATAGAATTAATTTTAAGACAATGGAATTCAGTTTGTTGTACTGAATTTGCTTTGTCCCTTTTTTCGACCCATGGGTATATAATGGCACAAGGGTCTTTGAGCTAACTGATTTCAAAATATTAAAAATTATGGTGTAATATATAAGAAAGTAAACGCTTATCAAAGAAATCAGGGGAAAGTGATTTTTACTCATTTAAAATTGCTAAGTATATTTATCAATTCAAGGATTCTGTATGCTAAAAAAGATATATCTTTTTTGGCCAGGAAAAAAAATTCGAAAATGCTAAGTTACAGTTAATATCCACTTCACAAGAGGCGGTTATTTGACTCTGTATCCTAGTGGATACCACTCTCGCGTTCAGAATGATATGTGCTAGGACGTACTTTAAACTGAATTCCAAACAAAACGAGATTTACTTTTTGGATTCTACAAATGGATTCTGTCACATGTCTTCCACATTATTATTCAAATCAATGTTCAGAATGAAAAAGAAAAGATACTTTATTGTTTTATAATACTTGTAATTTCTCGTCACTATACAGGGTTATATTGCTCGATCTCTGTTCATAGAAAGGCTCCTAAGCGGACTCCATGATACTGCTGGATATCAGTGATGTTTTATTCATCTTAGTGACCAGCAGTGGAATACAGGAGGCGTATTCCGTTGTATTGGGGATGAACCTGCACTCCAGTGAGTGATGTTGTTCCCACTGAGACTTGGATCCAGTATCCATCGCTTCAAACAACAAAAGTCTCAGTGACCTAGTTGATAAAGCTTTGCCGTTCGAAGCGATGGGTACTAGGTTCGAGTTTCAATGGGAACAACATCACTTACTAAGATGCGGGTAAATCCAACTGCTGTGTCCCAAATAGGACGACACGTGTGTCCTGGATTCCACTGTAAGTCACCAAGAGGAATACAAAAAACACTTTTTCCACTTGCTGCGTGTGACAATTACACGAGTAATTCTTCAAAACTGCAAAACTTTTCACGATATATATATATATATATATATATATATATATATATATATATATTACTCGCATAATTGTCAGAAAACATTTGTTTCCCGATACAAATTTAAAATAAACAACGAATGTGAAAAAAGCCGGATTTAATGAATTCATAAATTTCAGTAGTACTCGTCAGCTTGATACTCTACATACTTGATTATATATATATCGTTAAACAATGGAAAAGAGCATATATATATAACGTAGAATGAGACACATTTAGGTGTAACAACATAGAAGTGAACATTAATATAAGAGTAAAACTTGTGCACTGTGGTAGAATGTAATTCCATTTTTATTGATTTATTAGATTTATCACACAGTGTAACACTATTGTTTACTGGATTACGTTCCGGACATCATTTATTGTCTATAGTCATATCAAGATAACTACACACAACTTTGAGATATCCTTTATATAGTCTTAATTTTTTCGTCTCTTTGTGAGATGAGTAGTAAGGTAAGAGGTAAGATACGACGGTAGCAGATGAAGTTCGAGCACAATGTGCTCTTACACTTAAGCGATAGAAGAAAACAAAACAAAATTTACCAAAAGCAGAAAAAGAAGCTTTGAAAAACCTTTGAAATGACAAGAATATAGTAATTGCTAAATCGGACAAAGGCAACTCAAAAGTGGTGTTAAACAAGTCTGATTATATTCAAAAAGTCAAGGAGCATATAGAAACAGGACCCTACGAAGAAATTAAGAAACCAATTGACACTATCATGAATAAAGTTGAAAGAACCATGGTGGATCTAATACACCGAATGAAGCCGTTTCTAAGTGAGTCCAAATGGTTTAATTTAATGCCGAAAACTAATAATCCCAGTATGATTTATGGTACTATTAAAATTCATAAACCAGGTTATCCTATAAGACTTTAGAAACACTCCTACCTATGACTTATCTAAATATTTGGCGATGGTACTAAACCCAATTAGAAACCGTTCTAAATCAAAACTTACTAACTCTTATGACTTGAAGCACAAATTAGATGACATACATTTAGATTACGATGAAAAAATAGTTAGTTTTGATGTAGGTATTCTATATACCAGTATACGGATTAGTATGGCCCTGGAAGCAGCTAGAAACAAACGCAATAATGACCACGAGCTTACACTACGAACTAAGGTACTAATAGATGATATCATACTAGGAGTACAGCTATGCCTAACTTCCACAATATTTAGGTTTCAGAATAAAATATACAAACAAACAGAAGGAGTTGCCATGGGACCACCAATATCCCCTATTGTACCTGACATATTTATGGATAGTTGGGAACGGATGGCTATAGAAAAATTTAGTCCGGCTCCAAAAATATGGTTTCACTATGTGGACGACACGTTTACAGTGTTGAAATCTGAACACACACATAATTTCTTCACACACAAATTCAGTAGTCAACGCAATCCAATTCACCTATGAATTAGAAAATAGCAAAGGAGAATTAGCGATGTTAGATTGCCGAATAAAACGGAAACAAAATGGGAGTTTAGACACTAGTGTCTACCGAAAACCTTCACATTCAAACCGTTACTTAGACTTCAAATCGTCTCACCCTATGTCAGTTAAAGTTGGCTTAGTAAAGTGTCTAAGTAACAGGGCCTAAAAACTTACTAGTAAAACAGAAGATCTAAAACAAGAGACCAGATACATTAAACACACCGTAATCATCAACAATCACCCTCCCAAATTAATTGATAAGTTCCTTAGGAATTGTAAGAAAAATATCAGTAACACAGCTATTAATAGTAGTAATAACAGTGATAATAACAGCAA